TCGAACTTTCCTTTTCAGAATGTCTCGTTGATTCTGCAGCAATCTGTCAGGTCAGGGATTGGCCATCTATAGATTTTAAGTGAGGGACAAAGGATTTTTGGGCGGGCACTCACAGATCCCAGGTGATGTCCTCGCCATGGCTGAGAATCTCTGCAAATACCTGCTGCACTTCTCGGGCCGTGAGATAAGGTGGTTCAGCCATATTGTTGAATATTTTACATTTTAATGCACTTTAGAATCGCCTCAGCGATATTTGTATGTATCGATATATCGATATATGAACTGCAATATATTTTCGAACAGTACCTACACCTTTTACGCCCATTCTTTTACGTGTTCAAACCAGATCTGTGCGGACGCGAGCCGCGCAAGAATATTGATCGAGGTAAAATTGCACTTTAAACATAAATTCGATCACAGGATTAGCTTACTTCTTTTATATTTTTCTATCTCTAAGCTTTCTTAATTTGGCGTAAGAAACACATGGAACCGATGGAACCCAAGGGCGAACGGAAGCGGCTGTACCGCGGCTTGGACAATCATGAGCGCAATCTGTCCTCCTCGTCCTCGTCGCCGGCGTCGGTAGCTAGGCAGGACAGTGCCATAACCATCACAAGTTCATCACAGTCCAGTGGGACCACCCAAATGGTCGTCTCGCCCGACGATCCCCGCCCGACCCCCAGTGACGTGGCGGCAGATGTACGGAATTGGGTGTATTTACCTAGTTATTATCACTCTGATGATTTTACAAGCTCTGATATGAGCCTTAACGCAGTGAACGGTACTCGGCTGCCTAACATACAGCCAATACCCAGGCGTCGAGAGACGGTAATCCTAAATAAGAAAGCCATGGATATATATCTGGCAGGGACTACAGGCGGGTAATAATAATAATAATATAAACCCACTAATAATTATGTAATTAGATTTCAACATCTAAATAAAAACATATCTATTTTCTAGAACTTTCAAATTCTGCTTATCAGACTAAATCGGAGCACCCAGACACTGTGTGGGAGAGAGAGAGTGCAATATGTTTACGAGTTCATGTGTGTGGTTGCTGGGCCCGAAAGAAAAGGAGAAATAGACAGAAGAAACAAGGAAAGGCAACGCGGAATGGAAAAATAACACTGTTCGACAAAATCGACAAAAACTTCTTCGAAAAATTTTTAAATGGGTATTCTTTTGTAACGTTTTTGTTTTAGAGGTTTGAACAACTAAATATAAATTAAAATATATTAATATTGGGCTTTAGACAATATACATATGTATGGTTTATAGTATATATATATGTATTTTCAATTAAGAATTTATTGCTAGTTATGGAATATGGAATAGGAATAAATATAAATTAAATAGTATAAATAAATAGTAATTAATAAGTACAGGAGAGGAAGGTAAGATACAATTTACAAATTTGCTAAAATGAGGTGATGGTTGGTAAATAATTATAAAGGTCTGGGCACACTGCAAGCACGTGGGGAAAATAACCTCTACGCCAGGTAAGTATTGGAGCAAAGCTGTAACAAGTTACATATTACGACGTGGCGATTTCCCCCTTGTAAAGGCGGGTGGCCAAATAATTCCCCTCTACCTAAGGGTAGAGCGGTAACTTAAAACCTCAAAAAAAAAAAAAAAAAAAATAATTATAATTTATAATCATACCATAAAACCTGGAAATGTTAATGCTGGGCATAATTAGTTCTGCATATGGGATATGGGTAATCGGAGGGGGTGGAAAGTACGGTTGGCAGTTGGTCCAAATAGTATAGTAGACTCGCAACTTCGTATAAGCGAAACGTCACCTAACAATTAAAGCGCATATGAAGTCGAGAACATAACCGACGACGACAGTAATTGGAAAGTTGTATGTACATACATATGTATATATACACATGTATGTATATGCTTAAATACATATTTATGTATATATATTTATCTAAAAAGATTTGTCTGTAAAATATGGATTTGGTAACAATGTTGAAAACACGCCAGCAACAAATCGAGAAGCGACGGCGTTTCCATAATATGCATACAATTTTGAATAAAGCAGTATAAAATCTGCATATAAAACAATTACAGCATTCAAATACAAAAACTTATTTTATTGGTATATTTATTTTTTCCAACCCCTAAGGGTCCGGCTACCAAATCGGTGGTAAGAGTCTGTCAGAGTCCCTTTCAGAAAAACAATACAATTGATCGCTTTTGTTGTGAGCGCCATTTTTCAAATTTTTCAATGCTATCAGTTAATATACATGTCTCTTTTAATAATTTAGATACATTTACATACTGCAGAGAAAGCTCCCTAGCAGGGCGATTTTAATGAAAAATTCACATACAAATTTCTAAAATTTAAGGTTAAAAGGTATACAAACTAATATAAATTAGTATTTACAATACGTCAAATTGATTCTTTAAACGGATCAAACTATTGTTCAAGTGGTGAAAGTCTTTGCAAGCGGGTAATATCAAATATAACATAAAAATCGTGGAATGTCGTTTAAGACTACGGTATATTTACGGTATATTTTGAAGATTCAATGGTATATTTTGGTATATTTACGAGGCCCGGTATTTTTGATCGATTACTTCGCGGTCACACTGTTGCTCTGCTTCTAGGGCTGTCAAATATTTAAAAAATATCATATCAATACTGTATTTTTCTTGGAAAAAATATCAAAATTATATGATATGTACCTATGCAAGAATATCGATATACTTGAAATAAATAGTTCCCGTTGAAGGCGGGTATCCAGCACCACAAAGATTTCTAGCCAAACATTTGCTATATATTTATGTACGTGGAACGTAACAAACACAGGCATAAAAATTAGCTGTGTTTTGTAAATATGTGTACTGCAGTGGCAGTATGAAATTCAAACTGAAAATAATAGAGCTGGTAGTTGAACTAAAAATGCAGTTGGGATTTGCTAATAATGCATATCGTTTCCAAACGTCCATTATTGCCAAAAGAGCATAAATAGTAAATAATGAATTTATTAATATCAGTACAAATAATTTAATTTCCAAATAAAGGTAAGAGAAGCACTTTTTTGACTCCGACGATATATTTCGACTCTCTTTAACGTTTTTGTGCACAGTTGTTTCCTCCATTTCGCAAACTACACTCCAGAAATAATTGTCAACCATATATTTCTTCCCTGTGTACCAGCAGTTTTCTTAGTCCACACACGCACTCCGTATCGATATATCGATAAGAATCTGTGGATTTTGTCAACGTTGCTGGATACTCAAGAAACAAAAAGTCGAACCAACAATTTGGGGCTCTGTTTTTTTTTATATGAAGTTTGGCAAGAATTTTTTTTTTTTGTGGTGCTACTACTCGTCTTTAGGTACCAAACATAAAATATCAAAAAATATCGCAACAAAATATCACGATATAAATATATTTTTATTTTGCAAAGATATCGATATATTGATATTTTGATATATTTTGACAGTCCTATCGTCAACTTCCTTTTCCGTCAAAATAGTCGACAAAGGTGGTAACATTTTGTTTTAAAAACCAACAAAAAAGGGGAAATATGCAAGATACGCAACGCAGTGTCTCAAAATAATGAGACGAAAAAGTAGCCTATGGAATTCTGCGGGGAGATAAAAAAAAAAGCGAGTGAAATTGTCTGAAAATGTACCCGATGCACGGCGATGAGAAAAATCGATTGAGAGGACTGATGCGGCTTTTCGTACACTGCGTTGCGTGGATGCGAATGTTTGAATTGTTTACTCATTGAGTTAGCATGGTGTCCATTTGCAGATGGCTATCGGCTCCAAGATTATCAAGCCCGGCGGCGCGGACCCCGATGATTTCGAGAAGTCGATTGCCCAGGCTCTGGTTGAGCTTGAGGCCAACAGCGACCTGAAGCCATACCTGCGCGATTTGCACATCACCCGTGCACGCGAGATTGAGTTTGGCAGCAAGAAGGTGAGTTCATGGCTATTTTTGATGTGTTGCTGTGGCTCACTTGTTTTCGTCTGCAGGCCGTCATCATCTACGTGCCCATTCCCCAGCAGAAGGTGTTCCAGAAGATCCAAATCATTCTGGTCCGCGAGTTGGAGAAGAAGTTTTCCGGCAAGCACGTCGTAGTCATTGGAGAGCGCAAGATTCTGCCCAAGCCCACACGCAAGGCACGAAATCCCCTGAAACAAAAGCGTCCACGCTCTCGTACCCTTACAGCTGTGTACGATGCCATTCTGGAGGATCTGGTCTTCCCTGCCGAGATCGTTGGAAAGCGCATCCGCGTCAAGTTGGACGGCTCCCAGCTGGTTAAGGTGCACTTGGACAAAAACCAACAGACCACCATCGAACACAAAGTGAGTTTAAAGTCGAGAAGAGGAGGTCTTAATATTATCAGTGATATTTTGTGGTCTATGTGGTACCATTACATCTTCGTCCCCGTGTTTTTTGCAACGCGTTTGTCAAGCGTTGTGATCGTCAAAGGGGACGCATATCACCAAGTGCCAATAACTCGTTATTGTATGCCATAGACGCGTTTGCAGGCTTGCATCTCCATATATTGGCGACACCTTGATACCCTCTACCGTTCTTGTGTTATTCGCTGGGCTTGCCTTCTTGTCCAGCGATTGTCAAACAGAACGAACATTAATTCCATGCAACTACTCACTCCACAATGATTAGCCGACAATAGCCCAGGCTGCATCATTACTAAATGTTTGCGACATGTTTATATCTCTACCGTGTCAACTATTTCCTTAGATCAACCGTTCCTGTGTTATTCGCTGGACTCGCCTTCTAGTCCAGTGATTGTCAAACAGAACGTACAGTAAACTCAAAAGCATCTACACACTCCACAATGGAAAGCCGACTATAACCAAGGCTTTATCATTACTAAATGTTTGCTACAGAATATCTGCCCATAGACTGTCCACCGTTCTTGTGTTATTCGCTGAATGCACATCTTAGCCCAGTGATTGTCAAACAGAACGCACATTGAAGACCAGGCATCTACTTTCACTCCACAGTGTTGTGTCCATTATGTCCAGGACTACTACATTACTATTAACATGCCACAACACCACACACAATGCTCACTGATTACCGTCCATTTGCCTCCCGAGCACCGTTTTATTCCTGGTGCCTTGGGACTTCCTATATTGGCGGAAGAGTAATCCAGCCTTTCGTGCGTATTCCTTCGATGCAGTATATCCTGCCGCAGCGAGGAACACGTTGACTGGACAATTAATTAAGTAACCCCATTATGAATAAAACTTATCTGGAATCTGTTGTTCTGCTTCCTCCAGGTTGATACATTCACATCGGTCTACAAGAAGCTGACTGGCCGCGATGTTACCTTCGAATTCCCCGACAATTACCTGAATGTCTAGAGTGTGTTCGTCGCTGTCGCGCTGTTTCGGTTCATCATAAGAAAGTTATAGAAATTCTGTCGTACAGAATATTAATTTTTTACATGAGCTGGAGAACGTAACGTGAAATAAAAAATTAAACACCTAAAACTAAGCAAATCCCAATTAACAGAAATTATCTATGCTGTAATTAATCACTTTTAGCACTAGCTGTTGTAATAATTCTTAAGGTTAGATAGAGCCCAAGCCATTCCATTCGTCACGTCATCACCTGCGATGTGGAACATTTTAAGCGAAGCCATTGAAGGCATAATTTACTCCTGTGGCTCAATAGGGGGTGGTGGCGTATGACATGCCGTTTTTATACTTTTATAGGATGACTCGGTAACTTTTACCACTCGCGCAGATGCATGTGAAAAGAGGTTATCTTGTGGGGATTTTTTTTCAATTGTTCCCAGATAATATACTTTCATCTGGGCGGGCATGACACTTAAAGGGTTGGAACGCAACTTTATTATCGTTATATTTTAGAGTTGACTGAATACGGCACAAAAGCTCTTAAAAGCTCGGTGCTGTCACAAAAACAGGCTAAGGATTGTAGCAGTCTTAGCTTTTCATGGATATACGCTGAATGCTATATTTCATAAACACATGTATGTTTGTACATACATACATATATAATTGGACAAACACATGTATGTTTGTACATACATACATATATAATTGGAAATGTTCTGTTAAGACCTAACATGCATAGCTAAAAACTGACGAATTAGTATTTAACATTTGCGCTGGATGACTCGAAGCCGGAAGTTTTACAACCATAAGATGCATTTTTCAACCAATGTCGATCCTGAGTCGCACTGATGTTTAGTTTTATATTCCAGCTGTGGAAATGAAATTAGAACCGCATATTCATGCAATTCAACAAATTCGAAACTTTATACGAGGAACTGTGGGGTAGGTGCACGAACAGGACGTGGACATGAACATGAACGTGAAACGGCTTTAAGGTCGAGGCAACGAACAAACTAGAAAAAATAGTTTTTGGCCACAACACAAGTTCCATTTCGATTTTAGGGAGCAGACAAATTGCTGTTTTTGTGCTCGGTATGTCTGTTATTTGGCCAATGAGTGGGAATTCCAAGAGGGAGTTCTTGTGGTATGGTATGATTTGATTCGATGGCGATGTCGAGACAGGTGGCTTATTGACAGGTTGCCGCCGGAGTGAGCCATGCCTGTATTGGCGATTCTATCTAAATGACCCCGCTGGGTCATCTAATAATGATGTTTCCTAATCGTGGTTCTTTGGAAAGTAATACTTGGGTTATTCAGCCTTGGTTATGCATCCAACTGTTTTATCCAAATTTATTTCGATCTTTAATTAAATCGCTCGTCCCACATAAAGCCCAGGAAGTGTTGCGGGGCACTTTGTACGTTAATGTCATTGGACATGTACTTGGAAGAAAAATGTTTATGACAGTCGCAGTTCGGATTTTTTTCTCCCATCGGGGTTTCTGTGGGACTCAAAGTTGGCTGCCCTTTTGACAAATTATGTCATCCCCCGATACCATTTCTACTGCTTCAAGTGGCGTCGCTAGGCTGAGTCACGACTCGATTCAAAGTTTACCTTGGTATTGAATAACTTAAATTTTCTTCGCTGACTGCTGCTTTAATCAGCAACAAGTATTTTGGCAGCTATCAGTACGGTGCAGTGTAGCACGAATGCCATATCAGTCTTAAAGTGGGTTCAGACTTCGTTTCTGTCTCGAAATGTACGTATGTATGTATGTATGTACATTTGTATGTATGTACATATGTATGTATGTACATATGTATGTCCATGTACATACATACATATGTACATACATACATATGTACATACATATGTCAGAGAATAAACATGTTTGTACGATATGGAAATATGAGATTAGAAATAAGCTATCAAAACGTACATATGTATTTGTCCATCATCTTCAAACTACTCCAATGTCTACGCTCTCATAAAGGGACAGGACGGGAAAGGTCTTAACTCTCCATGTAATCAGTTGCGTATTCGCACACCTATGAGTTGCTGTTCCAAGTGCCAGACAGTTGATGATAAGCTTCCCATAAACCCTAAACCACCAAAGAAAACTCTTACATACATGCATACATATGTATGTACATACATACAGACATACTAACACTCCGTGAGAGTGTGGCCATTGATGATCACACAAGTACCGTCCAGAGGTTATTTCTCTCTCGCAGTGAGTTTTCTATATTTATCCAGTACTACCGCAGAGATGATTGTCTGCATATTCGTACTATATTTATCAATATTCCTGGGTGGGAGAAGGATCCGCAGAATCTTAGGGCAAAGAGCGAGATTATTTCAAGCTATCGCCTGGGAAGCCATTTTAGTGGCCACTCAAAGCGTTACTTAATATATTGCGGGATGGTGATAAAGTCAGCATTCGGTTGCCGCACAGCTCCAAACGAGTTTTTCTCTTTATTTTACTCTTTTTCTACGCATGTGGCTCTGCTCCCTCCCTCCCTCCCACTTATTCCTATCGTGGAAAACAAAAATGGGAAGCAAATAGGCAGAACTGGCAGATAAAAGCGACAGCGCGATAATGATGCGATAGTGGATGGTTGGAGGGGGGGGAGAAGCAACAAAAAAAAAGACACGTTGCGAGAGAGAAATACGCTCTCTCAAAAAGTGGGTTAGTAAGCATCGGCTGGGGGAACTTGGCCGATATTTTAAGAGCTTTGGGATCTCACACGATGACGAAATGCCTCCCCACATACACACATGCCACAGCCGGCTTTAGTGTATGAGACTGTGCTGGCTCTGCCATCGTCTACGCCGCGTCGATGCCGCCTTCATGGTTAGTGCTGACACCTACTCATATTCGAGTACCCTTCAGCAATAGAGATGGATTCCCTTTTGCAGTGCCCCAGAGGAGTAAGTTGGCATACCATAATATTATGATGCTACAATGTTGACATTGGAACCGATGACCAATTAAGTGGGTACGCTTGTAATCAGACTGCCTATACCCCACGGCTCTAACTTATTACTGAAAAAGTGTATCTACTATTCGACCACGGAAAGGTTCTTTTCTTGTATGGTTTTTTATGGAAAGCATTGACTTTGAACCACGCTGCCAAAGTATATGAAAAAATGTGTAGGTTAGGTAGAAATTTTAAAATTATTTCGCATATTTGTGTACACATACATATGTAAATCTATGTATATGTATAAATGTATGTTTGGGAGAGAGCCCGGCATATGTAGATATGTATATGTACATATGTATGACTCTCTTACCTTCCAATTAATATACTTTATGCTTTGCGAGTGTGTTGTTTGTGTAATGTTTACGGAATGTGTGAGCACAACAGAGAATGATAAACAGCATGAAGGAACGAACGCGTTAACGTTCATGGGTTTAAGGAGAGAAGAGGGTAAGGCATGGCAAAATGGTAGATAATAACTGTAGACGCAGCCGCACCCGCAGCCATGGCCGCGTGCTAGAGAGCTGAGAGAGGGAGCGACGCGACTTCCACCAACAAATAAGTAAAATAATTGAATGGTCTTCACTGCTCCTTCGCGGTCGCGTCGAAGCTAGCGTCGCGCTACTATAGGCGCCCAGAACTATCGGTGGTAGCGGCAGCGGCAGCGACAGCGACGCCGACAACGTCAGCCCCGGCTCTTGGATGTAAATGTCGACGTTGGGGCGTTGTTAGTCATTTGGGTTCGTTCGTTCGCTTGGTCAACACATTCCCAGAGCAGAGAATCTGAGAATTGAGAAACGCGCCGCCACCGCTGCGTATCAGTCCTAACGGTAGTTCCGAAACTTCCTCCGCTTCGTGCTATAGCTGTCTGAGTTCCAGTTGCAGTGAACAGTGCAAAACCAAGTACGTGGAGTAGTGTCAGGTATCGGTGAAAAGTTTCTCCGCAATCTCGTAACCGTAAGCTATTTTTAAGAACTTGAGAAAATGTGTGCCTGACGTCAGCGCGTACTAATCGCGGGAGCAGCATAATCTTCGACATTGGAACCCAATTAATCATTCGCGTCGCAATTTCTACTCCCACTCGTTTTTCCACTGTCGACTCTTCACCCCCTTTGATCCAGATCGCATGCAAATTGTAACCCAATTCTTTGCTCATTTCTGTCATTACCGGCGTCAATTAAAGGCGGGTGGGAGTATGGTGGATGCCAGGGGTCGGGAGGATTGTCAACAGACCGAATAACATGCACACCATGTACACATGTACCACGACCACCTGCCCCGTGGTGTTGGCTCTAGGACTGTATACACATATTATCCCTGATGATTTGATTGCCGCCTTGACACGCGCTGACCCACATCAATAACCAACCAACAGAAAAACCCACCAGAGCGCACCAACCCATATAGGACTGTCTACAGGAAGGGGTCGCACCTATGTACATACATTAGTCCTTGAGCTCCACAGAGTGTGAGATATAGAATTGTCCAATTGTAACTGTGAACTCCTAAGATTTTCCCAGGAATTTTATGTAAGTCCCTTCCCAGTATCGGTATTTTCTATCATCGCGCGTTTGAGACCGGCATAAACTTTCCACCAACTGCTGCTTTGAGAGATCTTTCCTGAATTATCTTGAGATAGCGAATGTCGAATGGGGGTTTCAATTACCCCACAACGATGTGTGCTCTGCCATTAAAAGCTCCAATTAAAGGTGGCAGGCAGCTGCTGCGCGGCAACAAGTGAAAATACCTTATCGGAAGGTTGGTGGGAAGCGGGGAAGTTTTCTCTCAGCGAGATAAAAGCTCGACCCGTCGCCATGGGGCATGGAAAATTTCAAACAAAATTTGGCATTGTGGCAGTAAAATTACTTGGAAGTGGAGAGCGGGCGAATAGTTGGCGATACGGCGACGTGCGGGCCATCAGGCAATTAGCCATGTTTGAAAATCGCCCGTCCATGGCAAGAATAACGAAAACTAAGCAGAATTTTTCGATGGGCGGTCAGCTTTATCGCAAACATCGCCAGAAAAAACACTCAAAATGAATTGAACTGAACGAACGAACGAACAAACAAAATAAATTCGGAGGAGCACAAAGCGGCTCGGCGTCTTGGAGGGCTGGCGATGACGGTATTTATTTTTTATTATTATTTATTATTGGGCCAATTGGATTGTATAATTTTCTTATGTGCTCTTAGGGGCTGCACTGCGTTGCCAGGGTGTCGAACAAAACGAATGAATCGAAACTGGGGAAATACATATAAAGTACATATGTACATAAATATTTTTGTATTGTCGCCTCAGACTTTGCTTCGTCAATGACACAGTCGCGTGCTCTCAGCTCATGATAATGTTGATCAATTCATGCGACTATGACTATATGACAGTTTTCGTCAAGTTCTGCTACTGTCTCTCGTTCTTATTCTCATATTAATTTTACTTCGGTTCCCCTATATCAAATTAGTGTGAGTGACTACATTTTCTAATTAAAAGTCGAAGGCAAAACGGGGCGTGCTTGCTTATTCTCTCCCTAGGGCCCCATGTTTTATCAATATGTAAATTGCGAGAAAAGAGGCGACGCCCCCTCTCCTGTGACTCTCAGGAACAATCTTATCGCTGGGCTGCGGAAATTGCTAGTTACGTTATGGGTCTGTTCTTGAACTCCACAATTACTCATCCCGATTTGAACACCTGGGTCAACCAGACTGTTTATGAATCATGGGGAACAATAATCTCAGTAAGGAATATCGGCAGCAATCAATGATTTCTTATCGGAGCACCCGAAATATTGAATGAAATAGGTGGGTAAAAGTAGGCCAGGTATCCAGGTGCTTATCAGCAAAGCCACAAGTCCCCCTAGCCGAGACACGCACGCGAAACGGATCGACCTCTCATACTCGTACACTCCCAAGACCCAAAAATTAATAGATAAATATTTCGAATGTTTGTCTGGCTGTCATCGTCGGGTTATACCCCGGTAATAGAAAAGCGAAAGATTATTATAAATATGTGTTTGTCTAAAAATATATCTATTTAATATAAAATGATGACATTCATCTCTTATTGGTATCAAACGATTAACTTTAGTTTGCAGAAAAGCGGATAATAATTACCCACAGGATCAAGTAAATAATAAATAATAGAAGAGTATCTATCTTTTCATGGGAGAACGCGTTGTATGTTTGTTTAAGTTACATGTACATACATAAATGCATAATCATGAGCAATTGAAATAGCACCAGTTGACAGAAATCCCAGAAGTTCGGATAGTGTCTTTCACAGATATGCCACACAAGCTTACAAGATGTTGGTTATCAGGTTGCACATCCATCAGGGCCGTGCGCAGAACCACCTGCATGATGACTCAGTGCTGTGGTGGGTTCACCATTGATTCCTCGTACGGCCTTATTTTGGTTGTGTAGTTTGTTTATTTTGTTTGGCTAGATACCCGGATAGTAGTTGAGCCCAACTAGCAATTGAGTGATAGCAACAAGGCACTTGGTCGGCGATAAGCCGAGGTAAAACTCGACAGACATCGTATTAGACAGACGCATTTGGCAGTGGCCAACGAATAAAGGGGAAATGTTAACGATTAAAGCAAACAGAGCAGCTCACTCCGTCTGTAGGTAGCAGCCGCGGGTGGAGCACATGAGTCTTGATACGAATTTCACACCAATTACAGCCTTCATTTTATCAAAGGCCTGTTAATAGTGGCGATTATAAGCGTCCTAAACTTCAATTAGCGGGACTATGGATTCAGTCTGAATACTTATTCATCGAAAATCGGATCTCTCATTGCAGCCTATCTCCGATCACCGTTTACATCATGTGCCTTTCCTCGCCATCACAAGCTCCCGACCAAAGCCAGGCAACCGAGAGCCGATGCAACGGATCCTGCAGCCTGGACAAGAAGGGGAATCGCAGCAGAAGCACTACCTCTAGCAGCAGTATCATTAACGGAGAGCTGAAGAAAAGAGGTCATTCCACAGTGGCTAGACAGACCAAAGTGCCTGAGAGAGAGCTAGACGATAATTTAGGTTATAAGGAGGAGAACGCCGTGTACAAGGAGAATGCCGTGAAGGGAAAGAAGGAGCCGGAGCAGCCTCAGCTATTTCAAGATCCTGAGAAAGAGGAGGAGGTCTACAAGCCACAAATCAGATGGCCCGATCTGGGGGCCCAGACCTTCCTGCACGTCGGGGCACTCTACGGCGTCTACCTGCTCTTCTATGCCAAGTTTTACACATTCCTATGGGGTGAGTATCCATTGTCCTTCAGACTCTCATGCATGGTGTCCCTTTTAGGCATCAAGATCTGTAATTAACAAGGGCAACAAATGAGTTTGTGCCTCGACCGATCGCCCGTAGTTCATAATTATGACTTGGGGCAAAAAGTAAAGAATATATTAGTTATTTGGCAAGCAGCGCTTCTGGCTCGCCAGTTGTTATTAGCTTGGCCATGTTAGACTCATTGAGATTAGGTTATGCAATTCATTCATTTAATTTTTTTCTATTAAATTTCTACTCAAAGTAGAGGTCAGCGAGGAGCTGATGATGAACCTTAGAGTATATTTCGAATCTAGAAGATGGTACATAAGCCTTAGGATTGATAAAGTGCCTCTTTATAACAGTAGGGAAGGGTAATTTGATCTATATACATATAATAGTAGCAGAATGAACTTTGACTAGCGGCAATTAAACTTAACGAACGCTTCAATTGCCAGCTTCAAACACTTTCGGAAAATAATCGAAAAGAAAGAGCGATTTCCAAATGGGTAGAGGCGACATCTAGGCCACCCCAAAGAACAGAAAATAGATATATTTAGTACTGTATCATGCGGTGAGCAAATCATGCGAGGCAGAGTCAACAGAGCGAACTATTCAGGTACCTACATACATATATATGTATATGCATACATATGTATGTATGTCTATGTCATCTGACATATGCAGATCGGAGTGAGTGTGTGTATATAAATATATGTACATATAGACAATGACATTCGGGTGTTATCTTCCTCCCTCTTTCAGTGGTTGGCACCATCTGGGTATCGGGTATTGGAATCACGGCGGGTGCGCATCGTCTGTGGTCGCACAAATCCTACACGGCGTCCTGGGGTCTACGTGTTCTGCTCGCCTTCGCCTTCTCCATAGCTGGGCAGGTAAGTGGATCGTGAAAGGATCTCTGATGTCGATAAAATGTGCTGATAGTCCTCTCATTTCTCCTACAGCGAGATGCCTACACATGGGCACTGGATCATAGGATACACCATAAGTTCTCAGAGACGGACGCAGATCCTCACAACGCGAAGCGCGGCTTCTTTTTCGCTCACGTGGGCTGGTTGTTCCTCACCCCCCACCCGAATGTGGTGGCCAAGCGGAAGGTAATCGACATGTCGGATCTGGAGGCCGACGCTGTCTGTATGTTCCAGAGGAAGTATTACATTCCACTGTTTGCCCTCTGCTCGATCATTTTGCCCGTGGGCGTGCCATGGTACTTCTGGGGCGAGAGCCTCTGGATGTCCTTCTGGATCAATTTCAACATGAGATTCACTTGGACCCTCAACGTGGCCTTTTTCGTGAACAGCGTAGCCCACATGTATGGCAATAGGCCATACGATAAGTAAGAACATACTGTAACAAAACCTGAAAAACATTTCCTACATTTCCTATTTTATACCCGGTACTCAAAGAGTAAATAGGGTATATTGTATTTGTGCGAATAACGGTTGTATATAACGCACAGAAGGAAGCGTTTCCGACCCCATAAAGTATATATATTCTTGATCAGCATCAATAGCCAAGTCGATAGAGCCATGTCTGTCTGTCCGTCTGTCCGTCCGTCCGTCTGTCCGTCTTGTTTGTCGGCTAGTTCTCAGAGACTATAAGAGCTAGAGCCACCAAATTTTGGGTGCGGACTGCTGTATGCTCACACTGAAACCAGTGTATTTCAAAAATGAACCAGGCCCCCTTCCGCCCCCGCAAAAGGGCGAAAACCTCCCAAATATACAGTTTTGAAGATAAAAGAAAACTAAAAACGCCATTCCGTAGGAAATGGCCATATCTATCAGATCGCCAAATTGGGATCCGATCGGATAATTATTATAGCCACAATGGAGAAATTAATTTCCAGTGGCTAAACCCACCCTGTCCCGCAGCTTTTGTTGCTCTTTTTACATTATCTCATTCACACTCTGCTTCACTCGGCCCCTGCGTCTGCCCTCCCTCTGGCGTTGACTCTTCCGATTTTAAACAAAGACTCGGTTTTAACGCTCTGTATTAGAAAAAGAGTGACCATCAAAGTTGCGTACAAGAATTTTTCATAGATGGCGCCACTTTCGAAAAATTTGCTGTGAAACCTATCGGTCCAAGCATGTACCAATTTTATTGCTGTTTTAAATATCTCATAAATTGGAAAATATTAACTGATCCAATTTGTTTGATGCATTTTATTTAGTAGGCTCTTACTACGTGTTCTGTAATGTGAACGATATCTAGTGGTTGGCGATGTCTTCTACATCTAGATGTAGTCCTGAGTGCCGGTTATAAAAGTTGTGACGCGTAAGAAGCGTCTCACACGTCCCTTCTCGTTCTCTCCTTTCTTCAGGAACATCATGTCCGTAGAGGCGCCCATCGTCTCATTACTGGCCATGGGAGAGGGATGGCACAACTACCACCATGTGTTCCCCTGGGACTACAAGACGGGCGAATTCGGCAACTACAGCCTAAATGTGACCACGGGGTTTATTGATTTTTGCGCACGCCTCGGTTTAGCTAGTGGACGTAGGTTATTACTTGTTTTCTTTGTGATATTCACCTAATTCCCTTAATCTAATCCCTGAATAGGCAAAGTTGTTTCCCCTGACATGGTCAAGCGACGCGCGGCCAAGTGCGGGGATGGCACACGTTTCCTTGACGATGAGTTCGCCCACAAGGATCAGGTTTGGGGTTTCGGAGACAAGGACTTGCCGCGAGAGGATTTCGCTGAGCTGGCCAAGATGCAGAATTGAGGATTAAATCTATGGCACTGTATTATCTTTTCAGCCTGTGGTTACAATAGTTTTAATTTCAAGTGGCAAGTTCAGCGTCATAACAATCCACGGACCCATCCCATCAATCCCTTTCCAAACACAAGCTCGACGTTGATTTCGTTACTTAACCACTAGTACTTGGGTCAATAAAGTATATTTTGTATTAAACCAAACTGTGCGTACTGCCCTCTCTCCACTCGACTGCGCGTTTTTTAAGGTATTGGTCTAGGGGGAATTTTGCGTTCCTCATGCATATGCAAGCGTTTGAAATTCAGCCCAGGGCAGACCTTCGCCTCGCCGGGCTCTCATGCGCCGGACATCGTTCAGTATCGCCTGGGTTAGCGTGTGGAGTAGACGAGACAGCGATCAAGGATCACGCTTCAGGAATATTCAGAAATAAGCAATGGAGAAGAAGATCCAGAACGTTGCGGGACAGGATAGGAGCTCCTTGGCGAGTGAGTTCAAGAAGCGGGATGCCATCTGGCCTCTAGTGCTGTTCTACATCCACGTGAACATTCTCGGGCTGTACGGAATTTACGTGCTGGTGTCGAGCGCCGCGTGGTCCACTATTTTATTCAGTGAGTTCAGAAAGTTAATTGGCTCCACGTGATGCCTAACAAATATGTTGGTTCCACTCGCCTTTCGATCTCCTCCTCCGATTCCCCCTCCACAGCTGCGCTCCTCACACTAATGGGAATAATGGGGGCAACCGTGGGCGTTCATCGGCTGTGGGCCCATCAAACGTTTACGGCATCCAAGCCGTTGCGGGTCTTTCTCATGTTTTGCCAGACGACGGCCGGTCAGGTGAGCAAGACGAACTACCCCGCTAGCTACCCCGCTGTTGACTAAGCCTCTGGTTAAAGCGATCCAAAGAGCTTTCATATGTGCTTTTAGCACCGACAAAAACCAAACCAGTTTCCATTTGTTCTTCGTTTTTTGTTTTCCCGCCAGGGCTCCATTTACAGTGTCGTCCAGGCGCACCGGCTCCACCACGAAAAGTTCCATCAAGACGAGGATCCCTACTACAGCAAGCACAGCTTTCTGTACGCCCAGGTACGGGGCGGTCTCCTCAAGTATTCGCCACAGCAGGAGGAGCTCTTAAAGGCCGTGGACATGACGGACATGGAAAGTGATTCGATAGTGATGTTCCAGAAGCGGTAGGTCAAATGATGACCCTTTTCTCAGCTAAGTCTTAATTCTCTGATTCCTCCGAACTCATTTTTATCTTCAGCTTCTACGTTCTGCTCTACATATTGTTCAACATTCTTCTGTCGGTGAACACCCCCTTCCAGTACTTCGGGGACTCCCTGTCTGCCTCCATGTTTGTAGGCTTCTGGTTGCGGAGCCTGATCGTGATTAATCTTGGCAACCTGGTGAACTCTGCTCACTTTGTGTGGAGCATCCACAAGGGTTTCAAGCCCACCGACTCCAACACCATCTTCCTCATTACGAAAAGCTACTGGCCCCAGTTTCACTACCTATTGCCCCAGGACTACCAGAGCGGGGAGTTCGGTGACTATGCGAGCGGGCTGGGGGCCAGTGTGATCCGCGTCTTTGCGGCCCTCGACTGGGCCAAGGATCTACGCACCGTCGGATCGGTGGCCGTACGTCAGGGCCTGACCCGAGCGGTGGAGACTGGCCGTCCTATTGTCGAGTGCATTGAAGAGCAGGTGCGGCTCGAGGAAAGCGTTTTGCCCGCCAATCACTTCCTCAATCGAGAGAAGTTCATGTGAAGTCTGTTTGGCTGGTCGTGGGTCTTTCTTGGCTTGCGGCTTGCGTCATTCGTATATGAAATGATGCGTGAAATAGTCGAGGCAGTCGTAAAAATAAATTAAGCACCAACAATTGGCCAAGAGAGAATGGTAGAGGGAGGGGAGCCAACACGAAGCCTAATTGTTGGCCTGGTATACAAAGCTGTGGACATTTTAGAGTTTGGGTATGGGTTTTCGTCTGGGTTTTGGGTTGGGATAGCAAACAAAGGCGAAGTTCGATTTCCACTTCGACGTGGGCTGCAGATGGGCAAAGGAGTGGGAAGAGGAGTCGGCGTCGGCATCGGCATCGGCATCGACATCGGCAGCATATGCACTTGGACAGCATTTCTCAAGAGCAACCAAACCAGCTCACAAATGAAAAATTACATTCATTAGGTATTCCAATTCGGTGTAAAGTTCGAGACTGTTTTTGAACTTTATCCGGCTCTTTCTCTTTCTGATTATTGTTTACAGATGCCAAATAAATTGGCATTTGGCAATCGGTTCGTTTGCTTTCCCATGATCGTACTGGATTGGAAAGGGATAGCGTTTAAGCTCGGACTCGGTGGAGCTGCTGATTGATTCGTCAATATTGACTACGCACTCAGTATCTGCCGCCCAGAAGCCTGCGCTATTGTCAATGCCGATAATCCATCGTCTACAGGCTGGCAGTCTCAACAGAAGCTCCTGCCTGGAGGCATCTAAATGTTTGCCCATTAAAAACTGTTTAGGGAAACGTAATGCTCGGGCCAAAAAAAAAACCCTGGGACCATGCAAAGAATTAGGTAGCCCCATCACTTACTTCTCCCCCTTTGGTTGCGGCTTGTTTTAAGAGCAAGGTGTTTTAAACATTCGAAACTGACTCATTTTCGAGTCTGGCCTGCCACTTGTACCAATTCCTAATGACTCTAAACTGAAGTGATTACTAATGAATTTTACTACTAAAAGCTGCGTTAACTCGTACTCTCTGTTTGCGTTGCTGTTGTTTCTGTTGCTTTTGTGGCAGCCACAGATCAGAAATCCGCTCCACAGCTCTAGGCTCCACTCCGTTTGGGCCTTTTGTTGCAAATTGCAGTCTCGTCGTGTTCTCCGCTTTGTTGTTTTGTTAATTTGTTTTTCATAAACTGTCTGAGAGACAGTTGAAGGTTCACACACACATGGCTCTGTACGTGGAGTACGCAAAATCTGTTGCCTTTTGACTTTTCAGATTATGTAATGCCTAATGCCCAATAACTAAAACCTAAAACTAAAACCAACGATGTGTGCTCGATTTGGGCAGGCGCAAACACATGGAGCGAACACATACAAGTCACCAATTCACCAATGCAGCAATTAATCAGTTCCACAATTCACCAACTAGCGAACTAATTGCTGGCAAATAGCCGTTTCATACGGATGAATATATGTCTTTTGAGCATAGCCAAGAAGTAGGTTCCAAACGGGAAATGATTCCACTTGGAATACAAAGAATATACACATACAAAGACTTCATATCTTCAATTTACTATGTACATACATTAATAAGTACATAAATACATACATATCTGCCATCTCAATGAGCTTCTTTGTTTTGGGGAACTTTTCTGGCAAGAACGCTGGTGTTCACGATTTTGAGAAGCTCATAAAAAACGCTGACACTGCGAAAAGTGAAGCTGGCCAAATATTCCATATGTACATATTATGTACTTACATAAATATGTACATATGTATTTCAAAGTGGTTTCAAAGATTTCCAGTTTGTTGTTTGTTTATAAAAAAGCATTCCGGTCTGTCCTACCCTTCCCTTCCATGCCCTTACTATGGCTCCGTCTCCATCTTAGGGACCATCTCCGGTGTACAATATTCGTACGATTTCAAAGCGTTTTTCTGCAGGTCTCCGTGTTTGTCATCGCTGCCGTTGCTTTGCATAATTGGCTAATGGTCAGTGATTACAACACCGCAACAGCAGCAGCTTTAGCTTTAGCACATCTGCAACACCATCAGCACCACCGCAGTGGGGCACCACCTGTCAACAGACAACAAAGGGATTGGTCGCGTGGCACTTTGAACGTCTGCAACGAGGGCTACTTTCTGAGGAGGTGGTAGATTAATTTTAGGCCCGACTTTTATGAGGGGAAGAGCTTCCTTTTCGTTTGGAGGGTTTTATTTCGTTTTTGGGTTTTCTGCTTTTGCTTTTGGATTTTTTGGTTTCTGTTTCTGTCGCCGATGTTACGTAAAGAGAAAGCCACTCTCCTCTTCTGCTTAGGTCTGCGTTTGCGGTCTTCGGGCAGCGCCGCTGCTGAACTTCATGATCATCGAACGGCTTTTTTTTTACTTCGGTCAACACCAACACTCACACCCAGATACAGAGATACCTTCACAGAGAAGTGGAAGTATCTGAAGAAGATGATTCGAAAATCTTGTATGAATCTGTGCTGGGCTGCTTGCCAAAGGAGAGACTGAGTTGGCATATCTGCAAATACTGTGGGCCTTTGATTGGTATCCACTCACTTCGCCTGAATTAGAAATCGCTTTTATCTACATATGTAAAGTATGTAGATTTATGCATCGTTTACATTTGATTTTGGGTGATTACTAAGCAGGGAGTACAATGTATTTCAATTCTTTTGTATCCAATTGGCAAAACAAGTTGATTGATCGATGGATTTGCAAATCCGTCTTTTGGAAGTTTATACACATTTCTCAATTAGCATCGCCGATTGCTGCTCAAACAATAAATAGCAAATGCAATTAGAAGCGCTTGCGCGGCTGCGTCTTTGGGCAGCATTCGTCAGTAATCGCTAGGAGCACCGGCAGAGCCTTTCATTGGGCCAGCCAGCCGCTGTATTTGGGAGAGCAAGAGAGAGATATGGAATGTTGGATAGGAATTCATCGAATTTCTGCTACCCCGTAAGAACAGCCTATCTTGGGATATCTCTATATTAGCAACTTGATATTACATTGTCTTTGATTTAACTAAGGTTTTTTTCTCATTAATAAAAACTTATATATATACATATGTTGTATGTACATACATACACAGTACATACCACCTTTGTTTTTGATTTTCTTTTGTTTGTATGCTTGATTATTTCAGTCCTACCGATGTCTTCCAGATAACTTTTTTTTAGTTTAGTTTAGTTTAGTTTAGTATATTTTCTAATTGAGTTTTGGTTTTATAGTTTTGCATGGATTTATCTTACGGCTGAAGTTTCCCTTTGCCTGACTGGACCTCCCAGTCACTTCAAATGTGATGGGTAGCGGACAAGAAACTGCTCGCGCTCGTTGTTACAGGTGGTTCGGTCGACGGTCGGCTCGCACGAGTGTGCGAATGTGTGTGTGGTGCCATAATCTTGGCCTTCTTGCCGTCTTTTATTTTATTTTCATCTCTTTACCTTTGTGCATCCGCGCACCAACACAAAACAAAAAGCACGACAACGAAAACTCCGTCAGTCAGTCGGTCAATCAGTCAGATTGTCTGCCTCTCTGTTTCTGCCTCTGCCTCAGTCGCTGCCTTTGATTCTGCTGCTGCTGCTGCTGCTGCTGGAGCCAGCTCAAAGCCATTGGTAGGAATTTACACTTTTGGCTACGATCATTTGTCTACGGAACGGCGCCGCGTCGAGTTCGTTAGAAACAGCAGAGCGGAACAAGCGATTACTGCCGAAACGACCCACCAATTCTCCGCCAGCTCCGAAGAAACACCGCTGACCGAACAAAGGGCCGCGCCAGAGCCAGTGACAGTGTTGAGTGCGCGTTTGCTATCGACATCGCCATCTCCATCCATCCATCGCCCCCCATATAGCCAAGTACTCCGACTCCAGCTGCAATTAACTTTGTTTTGTGTCTTAACCTGTGAAGAAAGTTCGGAGTGCTCGGGCTGTTACGACACGTGGTTTCCGCCGGCAAACCAAAGCCCAGGCCCCAGCCCAAAACATCTCTTTGCCAGTGAAGGGAGTGCCACCAGAGCGAAGGCGAAATGGGTCACCTCTCCACGCCGGAGCGAGTGTGCAGCAAGACGCCGATCCCCAGTAACGGCGAGGGAAGTCCTCCGATACTGGCCCGTCGTTCTAAATTGAACGGCGACTCCGCACAGGCCCGCAGGGGTGAGGATTCCTCACCGGAACTGCCCCCGCGTGGCAAAATGGCGCTTTCCAAGAGCCTCTCGTCGATGAAGCCGGCAGCTTCGAAGGTGCCCAAGGACCTCGTCGATCATGTGCCCAAGGACCAGATCGACCTGGAGGAATACACAAGAAAATTCCAGGGAGACAAGGTACTCGGTTATCAGTTCCAGGCTCCTCTCAAGTGGGACAAAGTCATCCAGATCTCGTTGCTCCACATCGTGGCCGTTGTCTGCCTGTTCACCTATCCTCTACGCGACCTCAACCCATACACGACGCTCTGGTGTAAGTATGTCAGCCTTCATCCGGCATTGCGTAATTTAGCCCTCTGTCTATCTGTTCGTGGATCTACTACTCTCTCTTTGGCCACGAATTAGATTTGGAAAGGTGTGGAAAGAAAGAGTCACATCACCTAGTCTCCCCTCACCACACCTAGCCACAGACGCTCTCCAACCAATCTCGATCGCTGAAGCAGTGGCTGTGGCTGTGACGATGGCATTTGATGATGATTTTGTCTCTTCCCGACCACACAATTATTTGCAATTTAACGCGCCCTCGGCTTGAAGTCTCTTGGCATTTTTTAAGGCCGTTACAAAACGGAGGCTTTCTTTAAATTTCTTTGTTTCCCTTTGGGCCTCTAGTTATTGCCTTTAATTGATTGCCGCTTAACATGTTGCCTTTCCACTCTCGTCGGCATCAGCGTCTTCTTCGATAGGTCTTGGGTTGCCGAATGTTGAAATTTCTTTCATTGGGATTTGGTTTTGGTTTTGAGTTGTTACATTTTTTGTGCTTCTCTTTAGCATACAATTTCAGTCTCAGCACAAAATTCGACTGACAAAGGTGGATTGCGGAAAACGAAATGCAAACGAATAAGCCACTAAATATGCGGCCAGCAGAAGAGAAACAAGAATCGCTTGACACAAATTTATTTAGGGCTTGTGGGCTTTACCCCGTTTACTCTAAGGCGAGCAACCCAAGGTTGCTTCTTCTGCCCCAACCTCACATCGACTCATCGAGCACAGCACACATTGCTCAAAGTCGCCACAGATGAGTTACCGGTACGGTAAACACTCGATGGAGGCTCGTTCAACGGTGCGTAGGCAAACAGTCGCCCTGCCCAGGGCTCCTCTGAGACCGGCTTTATGGGTAATCCACATGCGAAGCATGAGGCATCTGACGTTGACATTGGGACAGACTTCAGACCACCGACTACAGACAGCGGAGGTAGCCAATTTCGTTTTCATTGGAATTACCAGAGCATACACGGTCTCTTCTCTACGCGGGTAGGTGGGTACTTCCCACTTAATGGGAGTCCCGCGAAAAATGCCTTAATACACTGTAATTTTTAATATTTATTGCTCATTGTGCTGCCGACCAAGGGCCAAAGGGTTCGAACATAAGCACCAGGAATCCAGTATCCTTGTGTGGACATGGTCCCTATTTGGGGCGTCGAGCTCGTAAATATTTTGGCAAATTGCGCAGCGAACGTGCAAAGCCTGGTGATGCTCTCAACTCTCAACACACGATGCACGAAATTATCATCTTTTTTGCCGGTTTTTTAATGGCGAAAATTGTCGTGCTGAACACAGAAAATATTGATTAAATTCGACAGAGAGGAAAGGAGGACTTACATAAGTGATCTCATATTCGGCGATAAAGAAGCTGGGCCAAATACTAATATTTAACTGCTTGACTCAGGGACGCTTTCTTGGGTGCAGGAGAAATCTTTCTTGGAATGTCTAATACAGATAAGCGATTCAGCGATCTCCAAGTCAATACAAACGACACGCGTAGATCTTATTTCGGCAACGCAGCTGGAGTGGAGTGGACTGCGCACCTCCATGAACTTGACCCATGCATTGGCCACAGGCATGCACCACATTTGCAATTCAGATTCAGCCAGATCTTCCTCTTCGTCATTTGGTTGTAAACATGTATGTACATATGTATACTGGGTCTGCGATCAGTATTCCAACTCTTCATCGATCGAATACATATCTAGTGTTTCCGCAACCGTTTTTTAGTGGGACGTAAATTGTTTTTGAGTTTTTATTTTATTTTTTGTTTTTTGGGAGAACTGGTTTCTATCGAAACTACTCAGACCATAACATCGCGAAGGTTAATCTTTCCACGGTTGATGAAACTCCCGCCAGAGAAATCGTTAATAGTTCATTAGTGGGATTCAGAAATGTGAGGTGTGTGAGAAGCACCTTTCGCCCGATCGTAGAACCGTTAGTAGACACGGAAAATCCCTTCGATAGTGCTGCCAAATGAAGCACGGGCCGATCGGCTATTAACTCTAATTGTGCTCACTCGAATCATTCAATTGATTCGATGGTGACAGTGGCATTTTGCATATTCTAATTGAGGAATTAATGTAAAAATGCATCTGACAATGCAGCTGGCTGAAAGATTGCCTACGGGGGCGGGTGCCAACTCTCGACTCGGATGATTGCCGGAATCGTGAAATTCTATGCCATGACTTGTGTATCATCTTGTGTATACTTCCCCCCTGGTCCGACCTTGCAGCCATCTCAGATAGCGTTGTTAGTTCGGGGAATTAGCGTGGAAGCTCGAATAGCTCAATTTGCGGAAATGTAATTTCGGGTTTTTCTTTTCGTATCTAATTAGCACACCATTTTGGTAAATTTTATAGCCGACACTTGCACACATCTCTAGTCTCCAGTCTCCACCACTCATATACCCATACATATACCTTCACAGCGTTCTTCGTTGGTGGCGTGGCCGGATTTGGAGTGACCGCAGGGGCCCATCGCTTCTGGACCCATCGCAGCTACACGGCGAACGCTGTGCTGCGCTCTATTCTGATGATCTGCTACTGCGTGGCTGGACAGGTGAGTGACAACGCCATGCACACAAAACATGAGACTCTTGGCAAATAGTGTGAGTCCTCAGCCGGCACCTTCGACTGGTTCTGTGGGTTTTTCGTCTGTTTGCCGCTGTAATGCCATTAACATGAATTGCATCATTAAGTATAACAACTTAATGCCTATCGCGGCTGACAAACAGTAAAATTGACATTTCCAAAAAATACTAGGGCAAAAGAGAGACGGCGCTGTTGCTGGCAAAAGCTCTTTGCCAGCATCAAGATACAGTCAAGATACATTTGTCTTATATAATGACTAAAGCGATTAAGCTCAGTTCGAAAACCCTACCTCATCAGAAGCTTAGACGGAGATACTGACAGAGATAGAGACAGAGAGGGACTATGTTGGAGGCGTAGACGAACAATATATTTGTGTTTGTCGCGCTAAATGCAAATGTATGATGAAATGAAGTGGTGGAGACTGATTTACAAAAGAGCACATACGGTATTCATGAAACATCAGGATGGGAGGAGCTAACACAATATAATGGTACACCTAATTCGCATCCGATCTTCTTGCAGAACACACTGTACGACTGGGTGAGGGACCACCGCGTGCACCACAAGTATTCGGAGACAGACGCGGATCCGCACAACGCCAACCGCGGATTCTTTTTCTCGCACGTGGGCTGGCTGATGATGCTGAAGCACCCGGATGTGTTGCGTCGGGGCCGCCAAATCGACATGAGCGACGTGCTCGGCGATCCTGTTGTGCGCTTCCATCAGAAGTACTTCATCCCCCTCAAGATCTTCCTCTGCTTCATCCTACCCAGCGCCATACCCGTCTACTGCTGGGGTGAGTCCTGGCAGCTGGCCTTGATCCAGCAGTGCCTCTTCCGCTACGTGAGTAGCTTAAACTTCACCTGGTCAGTAAACAGTGCCGCCCATCTCTGGGGATCCCGCCCATACGACAAGTAAGTGACATTTAGGAGACCCTCTGCTAGTTCGGTTTAATACCATGATTCTCTCCATAGGCGGATCATGCCCAGCGAGAACATTTACGTGTCGCTCGTGGCCATGGGCGAGGGTTGGCACAACTATCACCACGTCTTCCCTTGGGACTACAAAGCAGCTGAGTTGGGAAATTACGGAGTTAACTTCACCACCATGGTTCTCGACGCTTTCCATAAGCTGGGCTGGGCCTGGAACATGAAGCAGCCATCCAAGGAGCTGGTCCGACGCACCCTCGAGAAGTACGGTGACGGCAGCCATGTCTCGCAGATGGGAGCCGGTCCAGAGGGTGCATTTGCCGGGTCCTCGCAAATGGTGGGCCACTTCCACTACGCAGAGGTACCCGACCCCGAGCTAGAGTACGATGCCGAGTCGAGCAGCACGGAGAGTGCAAAGCTCGACGAGAACGAGAACGAGAGCGAGCGGCAGAAGAAGGGTAAGAAGGTGAACACAACCTAGGGGACTCCCCAAGCCGGTCCACTTAAGTGGGGCTCTCTCAGAATCGGAGACGGAGTCAGAGACGGAGTCAGAGTGGAATGTGAAATCTTATTCATCCCTATCTGTTACTATGTATCTGTATCTGTACTTACGCATATGGTACACAGAGCAAGGGCGGGACATAGTCGATAATCGTTTTATAACTTAATAATATTCTATCATTACCTATATTTTCACTTAAATATAACACTTGCACCTTCAACGGTTATACTCACACACAGATACACACACCACGCACACATCCTCTCACATTCACACTCGATATTTTCATTTTTGTAGGTTTAGGTTTTTAGCAGCTTAGCGCGATAGGAAATTAGTTAAGTCACCCACAAATTTACATACAATAAGTTTATGTATGTTTAAAAATCTCTTCGTTCAAACAAAACGGCGAGCTACATCAACAAAATGAACATTTACAAATAAAAAGAATTGGAAAATTAAAAAGAAAACCTCTTCTATTTTTGTTGGGAGATTTTTGAAAATATTTCCACAGATTTCAGCCCTATTAAGTGGTGGATTGGGGTATCCCGAATGATGGTAATGTGAACGGTCTGAATTTCTTACCTATGTACTTTGTTATATGAACATAAGTGCAATCTTATCTGGTAAGTCTGGTATCTGGTGTTATGGTATGTGACGAAATAAAATGCAAATGAAAATCGGAAATGATAAGTCACTACATCATCATCATCACCTCATTAATCGTGTCTCTAAGTGGGCAGGAGTACTGGTTTCGCATCTCGTGGGACTACGTGACCACAGTTGCATTCAATCAACCGACCGCGACCATGATCACGATCTCGGTTCAATCGCAGGAGCTGACGCAAGGAGCCGCAACTAAATAATTGTTCCATAATCGATTTCCACCTGCACCAGCGCCCATCCGCTCCCCCAGTATCATAGGCTGGCAGGGCGTACGTGCACTTGGCGCGTACACAACAGTTCAGAACGAGAACCTTGAAAAGGTTCAATCCCAACTCAAGGGAATTCCTGGAGCACATCTCCAACCACCGCGTTTCGGGGTCGTGATCATAAATCTTACATAAACTGATGCCTCATTGTCTATATTGTTTGCGCGTAGGCTTTCCCCTACTCGTATGGGAAGAAAAGGTAACTAATTACTAAAATGTGAGCAATGCGAATGAAAAGTCCAATAACTCTGTTCATACTCATTATTATTGTCATCTCATTAGCGCAATGTTGACACCAACTGTTGCTTAATTGGTGACGCGTCAATACCTACACAAGCTCAGCACTTACTAAAGGCCAGATGGGGAGGATACGAATTTCATCCACATACTCGTATCAATGGTAACTTGAAAATTTGAGATAAGCAAGTTTCATTTTTAGAGAAAGGCATACACAGAGGCGAATTTCGATCAGTCGAGATCATGGAGAGATTCACGTGGAATGTACCAGATTTATTTTCGCATCTCTTCGGCGCATCAAAGCATCGGTTGAGTCTATTTTTGGCCTAGGCCTACAAATTTGCATATTGTTTAAGGCGGGACTGGGTTCGTTTATGGTTTATTGGTGTCTGTCAAGTCCGTCCTCTGGGCAGCGGAGGGCCTTGGACAATAAAGTATGCGGGGGTGAGAATGTGGGGGCTTCTCTGGCCTCTGCTTGACAGTTTACCTTTCCGCTGAGCAAGTGCAAAGTAGATAAATGTAAGCAAAAGTTAATCATTAAAAATGTAATTATGAGCATCCACTAGAATAAGTTGCGGAGTCGCAAAGTAATCAAGTAATCATTTAATGACGTGACCGGGCTACAGTTTCCAATTTCAAAAGCTGGCCGCTGCCCAACAAAGCGTTACTAACCTTGCGGGTCGGGCTTCGAGGCGATGCTTGTCGAGATGTTGAGATGGTGACGAAAACCGAAAAACTCAAGCTCGGAAATAGAGTTACCCCGTAATTTGCGTAACTTTTGCGAATGAAAACCGAAGGCTGCGGACGGTTGAGCTGGGAAAGTGGAAGAAACCAAAAGCTAGCTTTCCCCTCTCACCCATCGGAGCCTACGTATAACTAATTGCGAGCATATTCCGATGGTATTGCCAATCGTCTCATCGATATATGAAGAGGGAAAGGCAAAGGGTGGTCGGGGTCGGGGCACGAACTATCTGTGGGGGCAGCATCTCTCGGAACTGGTATTTACAAGATACGCATCTGTGGCGACTATATAAATATATGCATACACACGAATCCATGTGATGTTTGGGTTGTGGCTTCGATTTCGATTTGGAAAGGGCGTTTTGTAACCTGCGAGTGTGTTCGGTCTAAAGTTCGGGTTTTCTTGGCTCGGATGCTGCTTGGAGAAGGCATCGGGGCGTTGTCATCAGGCACGTTGACGGCTGAGCTGACCAATTGATTTATTTTTCGGACCGGGCGTTTGGCTTTGAAATTGATTTCTTCGCTACGAAAAGAAATCGCTTTGTAGGTCCGTTTTTATTGTCTTGGGCACTTTGGGCTGATGCTCTGGAAGCGTCCCGCGCTCTCAAAACTCGTTTCAAAAATTCGTCAAAGACAAAGCGAAGAAAAAAACTAAAACCATTCAAAGCATATTTAGTTCAACCGTCTTGTGACTTGCACAAATTTTGAATAAGTAAGACATCTGGCCACATATAGCAAGAAGCATACATATACATATGTATGTATGTGCATTTAAATACTTACATATGAACATACATTAGACTATATTTGCACGTTCATGAATTATGGCAAGCCGCCGGGATCCGATGAGAGGTCCTAGGCGACTAGTTTGTTTGAGCAAACGGCGAAGCCCAACTTTGCTACAATGACACGACGATCTTTTCCACTGATTAATGGAAGTATTTTGCAAAATCATGTTCAGAGTTTCGAAAAACCCTTCACTGGCTAAGATGCCTGGCCGACTGCAACACCCTCGCAGTCCACAGGTTTTTACATTCAAGCTTGTAAGACCACATGGAGTTGCAGTAATCATTTTGACATTTTTCCCCAACACCCACCCCCCCACCCTTTGTCCGTGTCGTACGACATACGAAAGGGCTTGCGCAACTAGAGGCCGGTTTAAGCTGCTCCGGTCGAGCGCAGATATTTTTTAAGTGCGGGCCACTTCCGGAGGCGTTCATTTGGTCGAGTGCTAGAGTGGCTCGAAATGGGCAGCAATTCAGAGTAACTCGGCTCAGCTCTGCGCGGACCGAGGCTAATGACATAGACCTTAAGTTTGAATTTTGTAAGCATTTTCTTTTGGCTTATGGGTCACTTAATTCTATATGTTTCTAATGCCAAATATGGGTGATTGCTTGATGAATTCGTCCAGCTTGCTCTGGAACAGCTCGGAGGTAACCACATTGCCGGGCGTCCACAGGGGGTCCCGAACTACGTACTCCACCCAGACCTTGGAGTACAGCTGCTGTAGAAGCTCTTTAACGTTGATGGCGGTCGTGTCCGTGTTAAGCACGAATCTTTAAAAAAGAATAGGTTAAAAATGAGCAAGTAATGACGATGGGCTTGAGCTTACTTCAGTCCCGAAGGCGTTTCCAGATAGTGGAGGGCGTATCGGTTTGTCTTGTAGTACAGGAAACCCTCGCGCGGATCGTAGGGAGATATCTTGCTTACGAACGACTTAATGGAGAAGAGCATGCCGTAGGTCAGCTTGGCTTCCTGTAATATGGGATAGTTCAAGTTTTACACATATGATTTCTTAACTTTGTTACCTCCTCGCCTGTTATGCCGGATTTCTTGGTGCGGTTCCATTCGGCGTAGTGCATTAGCGTACCGCACTTGTCAAAAATGTACAGATTGAATATGGTCATCTTTTAAAATTGCATTGACAAGAGCACCTACCGCCCGAATAATTGAGCTTCCTCTTAAAAATTAACTTACAACCTTATACACGTTTTGTTATCGTAATTATTGTTGTCTCTCATTTCATAGCACGACACCTACACGTCCTTGCAAGTGATTTTTTGAAAAAACGGCGTCACAAAAGAATGGAAAATGTTTTCATAGGGAATGATTAGGACAATTAACGTCCTGCAAAAAGTATAATTTTGTATTTTTAATGTATTTATAGAAACAGTGTGACCGCGGAGTTGTCGATACAATATACCGTCTGAACCTCAGAAATATACCGTAAATATACCAAGAAAAGAACATTGTTTTACATTTACCGCCTATCGTTGTAAAAATATCCCGAAATATCAAAATGCAGTAGACGGTCACCCATTGAAATCTACCACGATTGAGAGATTAAATGAAGCGAAAATACCAAACAGGTCAGCTGTTTTAACAGCGTGGTATGTTTCTGCTAGTGATCTCTCTATTACATTTCAAAAATGTATTTGCTATATTTACATAGATTTATTGCATTTATAATTTAGAAACTGACTCTGTATGGGGTGAAATTTTGAATTTTTCTAGCTATGGATCTTCATTTGTTCCTAACTTTGTTTTTGTTCTAATAGTTCCTCAACAAAAGAATAAAGAGGTAATTTAGTTTACGAGGCTTGTGTCCGCCCCCCGCGCCAGCTATCGTTTTTGCATCTTCAGGAATCTAATTTTCGTCACTTTTTGCTGTTGCCAAATCTTCTGTGATGCTGTTCTGTACCTGTTGTATGATCTTGGTAAACTTATTGCGTATCTCTAGAGCAGTCGCAGGGTACATCCTTAGGGCAATGAGCCCTAAGCTGGGGAAGACTGGAAATATACAATGACTTCTACATAGATTTCGTAAAATCCTACCTCATATCGGCTACAATCCAGGCTAATAGGTTCTGTTGTTAACTCTGATTAATTTATAGCTTGGGTGGGTTCGGGCGGTGATCTCTATTTCGATTCCCAGAGTCGGGACTCAAGTTGTCTAAAATAAATTTGAGTTAAAATCAACAACTATGTTTGAGGATATTCTGATCGGCTTACTATTTCTCAAATTTTTTGAGAAACCACGTCTTTCCGAATTGTTGCGATTACTGGAGGGTAGGCTCTGATCCCGTCTATCGGAATTATTGCGATTGCTTGGAGTTAGCTTCTGATCTTGTCTTTCGGAATAGTTACGATTGCTTGGGAGTAGGTTATGGAGTTTGCTATAATAGGCCCCATCAGAGGAGATTGGTGCCTGGATCTTCCGAGTCGCAAGCTCGCGGTAATCGGTCCCCAGGCGCTCTATGGCTTCATCGGAAAATTGTCGACGCGTGATGCCGGGTCTATTTTTAACAGGTCGTTGTTGCTTATCCGCTCTTCCCTCATCCTGAGAGCTGAGGCGTGGGTGTCTGCGCTGGCGAGGCTCCTCGAGGGATCCCGGGCGGTGACGTAACGGAGCAGGGTCATCCGAAACCCGCCGGGACCTGAACTCTTTGATACCTGCTGCG